TGACTGTGAGCTCGTCTTCGGTCTGTGGGCATGGTTTACCAGTGACCTCGATTTATCCCGATCGTATTCCCTTGTGACGAGGTTAACAAGCAGAATGTATTCGATATACTCAGTATTGCGGACTGCCGTCATAAATAGGACGACACTTAAACCGGTAAGCCATTTCGTGAGTTCCCAGTAACCAACAACTCAAAAGAGAATTTGGCAAAAATAGCTTATGCAGACCCACTTATTAATCCCTAGTTCCAGAATTTCGTTCTGCAAAAACGGTAGTTATCGTTTTGGGGGGTGGGGAAATTTGATAGACAGAGAAGTAAGTGTAAAGTGAAAAAAAATGTTGTCGAAGTTGCTCCCCGCGGCGGCTGGGAGTAAATTGTTCCGCATGTAAATTGAAGGTGTGCGCGACACTCGCGCCGGGGACTATACTAATCTAACTCCAGAACTGTAAGTTGGACCTAATTTAAATTGAAGTAGACGACCTCCTAACCATCATTTCAATTTTTAGGGAAATTCAGGAAACCTACAATTTGATAATCGGGTTTCTCTACAATAAATTAAACGATAGTACAAATTAGGAAAGTCTACAGATATAAATCAACGACACTTCCAAATACAGTAAAATAAAAATGCATTTAGCATTTATTAAAGTATACTCCTCTGCGTGTCCTAATTCCCCATCCATAAAACCCTATAACCACCGCTTTCGTAGGAAAACATGTAAGGAGTGGGGATTAATGAGTGGGCCTACATAACCTACTGTTGCCGAGAATTTGAATCTAAGCCCGATTGATGGTATTTCCTCCGAAAACTTCGAAGATGCTCCAGTCGAAAGGATGGAATCCTAAACACATCACTACTAGAACTGTGCAAATGGTGTAGTTTGACAGCGGTGTTTATTTTGAGTAAGGGGTCCGTCCTCAACCCATGCAACTCTAGAGTTCGTCTTTTTTTCGCTATATAATTAATGAAGGTAGTTTGGAGAAATTAATTTTGTAACAACAGTCGAACGCCCGCGATTCGGGTTAGGGGTGCGTGTACCTTATATGAGCCCTGACGCCAACCCTTATTATAAATGAAACCAATAATTGGTTGCACCTCCTGAATTTCGTTATCGTCCCTGACGCCCGAAAGTTCTCCTGGCTACCGGCGCACCCTAAGTGGAATAGTGTATAATATTTTATTTTATTTACGCTACCACTATCGCACGACCAAGTCTACAGCGAATTCTTTCCTTATTCGATATTCCTTGCAATCTCGTCAGGAATTGAGGTAGCTAGGGTAATAGACGTAGTTTTAAGAGAAATTATTTCGGCAATTTTAAGCTGTCCTGTTGGTATTTTTAATGTTCTCGAAATTCGCTTGAAATCGCTTCGCCCCACATACCCAATAGCGGTGTTTTATTGATGGATTCAAGGGAGGAGGTACAACTACAAGGGTTACTAATCCTATTTTACTCTCTGGAGACTAGAAACGCAGATGGTAGTTTTCGCGGGGATTCTCTAAAGTTCTGGCCGGTTATCAGCTGCGCAGTAACCAGATATGTACTCCAAATGAAAGGAAAGGTATCGTTTTATACCTTGTAATTAGCCTAGATCGTCGTTTGACACTGGCCTCCCTCTCTATGTGGCCACCAATACCTGTCTTTCGCATCCTTTATAGCACGGGCAAGTTCTACAATACCCTCCTGTGACTTTATCTTTGTCCGAAGCAGAGAGGCCTGTTGGTTTGGATGACTTAAGTGGACGGACTGAAACTCTCTCAGTGTTCCAACGACTTTTACCTTGAACACTGCAATAACAATGGTCTTTCTTTGTTGATGTGCATCAAGCGCCATCACCATCTAAATTGCCAGCCCGAAAAAGGACAATTTTGATGCGTCCCGCCATCTTTTGACTACTACTTGGACATCTTCATCCAGATGGAAATGAGGTGTGCGAATGGCTGACGACCGATGGTCTGGTAATGCTGGAAGCGGGGAAAACTTTTGGTTCAGGTTCCGAACGGCAGCTATAGAAAACCCTGCCGAAGTCTGTCACTTGAGTCCGATTTAGCCTAATACAGTCGCGACTGTTGATATGTGTTTATATTCCTTTTATCATCCCCGGAAGAGGAAGAAGAAGAAGAAGAAGAAGAAGAAGAAGAA